AAAAAAAAAAAAAAAAAAAAAAGCTCTTATACTTTAGGTACTTGAAATTTTTTTTAGTGAAATTACTACAGTGAAAGACTTGAGAAATGCTAGAGGGTAATAACATAATTCAGTAGGTCTTTGAACTGTTTTGGGGGGAATGGGACGAGTGGGTGGGAATCGCGCTAGCTGGAATCCTGGCTTTGCTGCCTGCTGGTTTAGTGTGCTGAGCACCTTTGTTTGACCTTTCTGTGCCTCAGTTTCCTCATCCGTAAAATGGGGTGACTGTAGTTCCTACCCCATAAGCTTAAATGAGAAAATACCTTCCTCATAGGATTAGGAGAGATAATGAGGACACGGATTGTGCTCACCACTGTGCCCGGCCAGATGTTCAGTAAGTGTTTGATACTGTGGTTCTGAATCCTATTCCTGTTCTTCCCAAAATGTTCTCAACCTTACCTGCCTCCCTTTCCCAGAACAGCTGGAACTGGGGCCAGGGGGCGATTGGAGGAGAATGAATTCTCTTGCTGACGAACGTGCCCATTCCATGATTCTTCTTTCGGAACAAATGCAGGGTTTCTCTTTTATTGATTAGCTTCCAGATCTGTTACTTGGCACACCTCACTAACTGAAATTGTTGTTATTGTTTTAGCTACATGAAAGTGGCTATGACGCTGGCAAAGCCCTGCAGCGCCTGGTAAAGAAGCCTGTGCCCAAGCTGATCGAAAAGTGCTGGACGGAGGATGAAGTGGTGAGTGCAGATGGGAGTGGCCTTGTGGCCAGGTCACCGGGCTGTTTGCTTCTCAAGTGCGTGCCCTCCCTGCCCCTCTGGGGAATGTCTGTCGTATCCATTAGTCAAAGGAAAGAGCCTTCAAGCATCATAATTGTACAGGGAGACTTGATCTTAGTAAGCTTAGTGGGAAGGATTTTCTCAGGTTTCATGGAAAGAGAGAAGAGATTGGTAGTGTTGGTTGGCAGGTTTTAGCAAGCCAGCTTTTGATACCTCCCTATTTTAAGACACAAGCATTTTTAAACCAGTTGATACATATCCTAGAGTGGAGCCAGTGACTTGCAGGAAGCATAGACCTGATTATATAAATACAGTGGATCTTACATATTCATTCTATCATTATGGCCCATCAAAGAAGGTGGGGAGATAAGATATGTGCCCACAAATACAGATTTGAATACCCATGGATTCCTGTCCCAGCAGACCGAGTGCTCATGAAGCTACATCCCCATCTTGTGACTTCTGAAAGGTATTGCCGTAAAAGACTTACAGATTCCTTGTGCTTTTGCAAATACAGTCTTGTGTCTGAGTGTTACTGCTTGACATTGGCCCTTTAGGCTGAAAGAAATTAAGATGAAGGCTGGCTCTGATAGACATATCGATTGTAAGTTCGTTGCTGATATTTTAAAATATGCTAACAAAGAGTGTTTAGAAACTGTGCTTTCCTGATTTTGCTCTTTCGTTTTTTCAGCCAGCAGCATTTATTAAGTACTTACTGTGTGCCAGCTGCTGTGTTAGGAGCCATATCAAGAACAGAAGGTCCCTCCTCACAAGGCTTATGTTTTAAGAGGAGATACCATCTGTAAATCAATATATGTCAAGTGGTGGTACATATGTGTGCTAAGGAAAATAGAGTAGGTAATGAGGATGGAGAATAAACTGGGTGAGGTGCTAGCTTTCGTAAGGGGCTGAGGAAAGGCCTGGTAAGAACCATTTGATCAGAGACCTTAGTGCAGAGGCGAGCCTTTTGGATCAGGGGCCCTAAGGTGAAAGCATGCCAGGGGAAGAGAAGTCTGGGCCCTGGCATGGTCAAGAAGTAGGCAGGAATGTGTCTGGAGGGGGATGGGGACGGCAGGCAGTGGATCATGTGTGGCTTGCGGACCCATGGTCGGCGCCTTGCTCTTTGCTCTGCATGGGCAGATTCTGAGCAGAGGGGTGACTTGGTCTGCTAGTGGGGCACACTCTGGCCCCTGAGTCACAAGTGGGCTTTCGGGGCAATTGGGAGCTTCCAGGCCCGAGGCCAGGGACTGAAGAGCACGGCAGCAGTGCTGGGGAGAAGTGGTGAGATCCTGGGTGCACGCTGGAGCCAGAGACAAGAGAATTGTTTTGTTTTTTGTTTTTTTTTAAGATTTTATTTATTCATTTGACAGAGAGAGAGACAGAGACAGGGGGAGCGGGAGAGGGAGAAGCAGGCTTCCTGCCGAGCAGGGAGCCCGATGCGGGGCTCGATCCCAGGACGCTGGGACCGTGACCTGAGCCGAAGGCAGACGCTTAACGACTGAGCCACCCGGGCGCCCCAAGAGGATTGGTTCCAGGAAAGGCCGTGTTGGGGGCGGCAAATGGGAGGGGGAGAAGTGGGCTAGGAGGCACAGGGAGGGACCGAAGCGGCCCCTGAAGGTTTGGTGTGGGACAGAGCTTTTTCAGGAGTCCGTTAACGCTGGCCGCTGATCAGATGCATGAGGAAGTTGGTGTTGCTGTTTTGAAATTAAACATTTAAAAACTTTACATGATCAGTAAAGAGTTGGAAACTTCTTAAGCATATGTTATTGTTGAGATAGTGGCAGCGTAAAAATGTGAGATTCGTTTTGTTAAGTCAGATAGATGTCGTTTTTCACTGTGGACCTGTTTTTGTGAGAAGGAGAGGAGAGTTTTGATAAAAATTTAAGATTCCTCAAACAGCCTTGGTGGAAGAAAGACGTGAGGGGGTAGAGAGGATGGAAAGAGTGTGTGAAAGGCTGTCACCCCAGGGGCCCCGCCAGTGCCCGTGCACCAGGCGCCCTTCTTGGCCCTCCCTCGCCTTCACCCCTCGCTCCTCAGCAGCCAGGAGCTCCCTGTACTTTCTCCCGAGGCCTCTCCTTCCCTCTGGGATTTAAGGACTCCCACTTAAAAGAAAGCCGCCTTCCTTTTCCTGCAGTACTTGCTTCTCTTGGGCGCCGTGTGGTCTGTGTCCCTGCTGCTGCTGCTTGGGGACTTGGAGCAGCCCGCAAGGCGGAAAGGGGAGCCTTGCACATCCGAAAAGGCCTGGCTTGCTTTTGAAAAGCGAAACTCGACTCCAAAATGCTGCACATTCCGAGTACATGGTAATGATACTTAACTGCATAAATCCTTGTCATTCGGGCTCATTTTTGTCATGTTTGCTGCTTCTTTTGGTCGGAGATTTGAGAAATGTGCTGGCACTCATCCAGTCCTTGCAGAACACAGGGATCAAATGCTTCCCTTGTTTATAGGAAGTTCAGCTTCACTTTCTAAACCTGAAAGGTGAATGAGAAAGAGGGATTGAATAATTGATAGGCTGAAGGCAGCTTCTCATGAACGTATCCAAGTCAAATCTTTGACTAGCTTTATGTGGCAATCCGGCATAGAAACTCATGGGCCTCTGCCTTGGGCTGGTTTTGGCATGAGAATGTAACCTGCTGTGTATATGTGGCCCCTTTGGTTGAATTCCCCACATTTTCTCATCCCAGGAATCACAGGAATAAGCAAAGCACAAGTGTGTCCCAACTAAAATGACTACATGGGCCTACCTCCCCTTCCTCCCCACCCTCCTCATAACATTTTAGTTATTTTTAAGCATCATTGCCTCCAGTATATCAGTTTGATCAAGCTGTAGCAACATCGACAAGGTTGTTTTTCTTTGTGTTTATATGAACTGAATACTCCACAGGCGTGCCAGGGTTGGTGGAATGAGCACCCGCCAGCGTGAACCCCCCGCCGTGCTCTGAGCAGGCAGCCTGTGCTGCCCTGGCCCCGGCAGGTGCACTGCTCCCTGACCAGACGAGTCTCTCCCGATGCTGCCAGACCAGACCCTCAGCACCCCGCAAGGTTCAGCACAGTTCCTGGGCCCAGCCTGCCACGATCGCGCCCTCTTCTGAGCTGCTTCTGCTGCTTGCCGTGTTTGTTGGCAGCCTGCCCCTTGCTTTCTCCTGCTGCCATCATCAGCTCTGTTCCTCACGGCTTTTATCCAAGTTGATTGCCCTCCTAGTTGGTAAACTTCTTAAGAGTGAGGACTTAACTGATGGTGAGAATAGTGTCTGGTAGAGAATAATGTTTTTATCTAAGAGGGATTTGAAAGATATTGACAACTCTTTATTTAAGATTACTGTTTTTAAGGATTCTTTACCGTAATTAAGATTGTCCTCAATCTAGCATTTTATTTTTTTTATTTTTATTTTAAAAGATTTTATTCATTTAAGAGAGAGAGCACAAGCAGGGGGAGCGGCAGAGAGAGAGGGAGAAGCAGACTCCCCCCTGAGCTGAAGGCAGACGCTTAAGCGACTGAGTCACCCAGGCGCCCCCCAATCTAGCATTTTAAAACTTATAATAGTTAATAATTATGCATCAGAGAAAAACTTTTACATGCACCCAAGCTGACCTTAGAAGTTTTAGTTTTGGAAAAAAATTCCCATATTATTAATGATAACACCACCCGACTTCTTCATCCTAGGTCTTTCAGATAATCACTAATTCTTGAGATTTTAGGCCTCAAAATGACACAGTGGAGGGCTTTCATTTTACATTTTCTCTCAGTGATTCCTATGACAGCTTGTGTGTGTGTATATAGATACGGTATTTCTTACTGAAGTTTCTTTGGGGCTGAGACACTTTAAATCTTGTGGAATGGGTGCCAGGTTTGTGGCAGTTTCTGTCAAATTCTAGGCCAGAAACCGGCAGTTGAACTCTGCTTTAGTGGAATGACTGAGAAACACGTTGGTAGCTAGCTCAAGGCAGCCTCTCAGGCTGAATACACTGGGTCGGATCAGAGAGGCCGTTTGGAAGAAGTGCTGGGTCTGTTGGATGGAGCCAAAGTAGATGGCTGGCTGCCGCATCTGGGAGTTGTACTGACAGCCAGTTTCACTTACATTATGCTAAAAATATTATTCCATTTCAGGAAGCCATTTAAATCAGTAGAACTTACGGAGAGAAAGAGGAGAAAAATACTGATCAGAACCTTAAACAAAAAAAGAAAAGAAAAAGTAAAAGAAACTCTAGGTTATTAGGTTTTTAATTAAACATGATGAACACATTTAAATATAACACAAAGGCCCCAGGCTGAACTGCACCTAATCGAAACAGATTAAGTCACCCTTCCATGCTCGGGTAGTTATTAATTCTGCTTATTTATGCATGCGAGCTGAAGGTCGCATTTGCTGCTGCTGTCCTGTTGCTTATTGCACTGGGATTCCATTGCTGCTTGATGCTGTGCTCTTAATTAGCATTCAGCTGTTGATATGGAAATACTGGGGATGCTAATTGAATTCCTTTTAAAATTCAGGGCCTGCATTTTCCTTGGGGAGTTTGGCCTGACTTGCAAGGTTGTAAGATTGGGTGCTCCACTGAGCCGTGCACTTCACCCTTTGCTTCCCATCCACTTGGCTGTGTTTGTTTTGGAAATTATTTTCATGTTGAAGTAGCTTTCAGCAAAATTCCAGGTGTTCCATAAGGTAGAGGTTTTGTTGCTTATGGTATTCCTGCAGAGCATTCATTCCACTTCATTGTGGGTAACTGTAACTTTTATCTGGAAATAGATTTTCCCTTTAAATATTTCATACCAATTTTGATGTAATACACTGAGTGAACAACATAGATATAAATACTCTCTAAAATTTTTATCCATAGCTAGTTTATCCGTGGTGTGGTGGTAAACTTTAGTTGGCCATGTACATGGATTTACAAATTCATAAATTTTAAAACCTCTAAACTGTCCTTCAGTTTAAAGCTCAGCATTATCATAAATATAAATG